GCTTCTCCTTGATGTTGTGCACTGTCTCCCGCTAGGCAGTGGTGGTGAAGCTGTAGCCACGCTCCGTGAGGATCTTCATGAGGTCCAGGTGCAGGATGACCTAGGGAAAGGTATAGCCCTGAAAGACGGCACTGTGTAAGTAACCCCATCTCCAGAGTCCATGACAATACCAGTGGTACTACCGGAGGTGTACAGGGACAGCATGGCCCTGGGTGCCACGTACATGGCAAGGGTATCAAAGGTCTCAAACATGATCTGAGTCAACTTCTCTCTGTTGGCCTCAGGGTTCAGAGGAGCCTCAGGCAGCAGCACCGGGTGCTCCTCAGGAACCACTGCAGCTCATTGCAGAGGGTGTGATGCCAGATCTTCTCCATGTCGTACCAGTTGTAAATAATGCTGTGCTTGGTGGAGTACTTCAGCATCAGGATGCCACTGGGCCTTGCTCTGGGCCTCTTCGTCCATGTGGGAGTCCTTCTGGCTCAGTTACAGTAATATTTATTGGAACCTGATGCTATCTCTGACACTGTCCTGTGCGCTTACTAGAAAGACAAGTCTTTACTCTGACAGAGTTTATATTCTGGTGCTGCCCAACAATAGAGGGGAACACGGCTTGGGGGCGTCATCCCCAGCAAAGCCAGCTTGGCACATGTGGCGCCTTTGTCAGCGACGAGTGCTGTGGGGCTCTTCTGTCACTGTGATCCATGGAGAGCGGGTTGGCAGTGGAAAGTGAAAAAAAAGGAAAGTTTTACCTGATGTGTGTGTGCTTGGTGTATTTCTGTATGTATAAAAGAGAATGCTTGACCAAAACAAAGTTAACATATGGTATTAGTTATTACTTGTTTTTAGCATCCGTTTGGCCATTTGAAAAATGGAATACTGGTTATCACTTTGTTACTTGGCCTGCATGGATACTTTATAACTACTGCTGTAATAGTAAAGGGGAGGCATTTCCAACTTTGAAGTGGGTCAAGGGGCATAAAGCTTCCTGCCCATGACAACACGGCCCATTTAGTGTAGCCCCATGTGCACTTTTTTTCAGGCATGGATAGCTGGCATGGGGAATCATCTAACGCTCCATGAGACATGCTCTAAAAAAATACAATGCCTCATTAGAAAGCAGAGTCTATTGTTTTTACTGTCCACGTACAATAAGCTAATCATCCACTTTGAGCAATTTTTAAATAAATTAATACTCTTACACATAATTAATAATTCTGTGGCTTTTTAATTGTTGCTCTTCTCATTAGACCCTACCCTGTCCTGCTCTTCTGCAGAAACCCCATGCTGTCATATTTGTTCCCTCTTGCTGGGACCTTCTCCTGGGGCTGCCTGCCTATAATTTAATCAAGTCCCTCATCCATATTTTATATTATATATGTTTTTCTGCCACCCCTAGGAAGAGTTGCTTCCTGAATCATTCATTGAACTAATATTTACTGTAACCTTATGCTGTCTCTGACTCTGTCCTATGTGCTTACTAGAAAGATGAGTCTTTGCTCTTATGGAATTTATATTCTAGTGTCTTAATCCTTTGGAGTATTCTTGAGTTATTCTGATAAACTAATTTATGCTATAATATCAGTTGCAAACATTGGATTAAATGACATTTACTCCCCAGATAATACCCAATACAATCCACTAAGTAAACATTTATTGAATGCCTAGCGTGGTGTAGGAATACAAAGATGAATAGGGTTCTGTCCCATATTCTCGTTGTCTACAGGAGGAGATTGATACCTACATATTGAAAGTGATATTTAAATACAAATATGCATTTCTATTTTGTCTTTTTGGGAAGAAAAATTCATTTTTATCTATCTAGGCATTCATCTGCTTAGGGTGAGAGGAGGGTATGATGAATTTGTTATGAAAAAGATCATGATAATATTGTTTCTGTCACACAAGAATAGGATTAAAGAGCACAATAGTGACCATATAAGCTAGGCTGTTTTCTTGAGAAGTGATCATCTAAATATTTTTTTCTTCTTTTTTGAGAAATCAAAAAGAATAAATAAGTGTGGAGGAGTGAACATTCTCCACTATTAAAACATTATACGTATAAAACAGAGGAAGAAAGATCTACTCCCTTTCCAGACTATAATTTTAAGGAGGAGGAGAAAGAAAAGGGAATGAAAATGACATAATGTGATCAGGCCAAGAGAGACTCAGAGGTCGAGTGTTTGAGACACAGATGCTGAATTGAGATCTGTTTACCTCTCATGGCACCTCACCCTGAGGCTTTAGAACTGTTTTTTTTTTTTGTTGTTGTTGTTGTTTTTTTTTTTTCTGTAAAATGAAGGTAATAATAACTACTCTTGCACGAAAGTATCCAATAAAGTGGTCGGCATCTAGAAAACATTTGAGAAATGCAAGTTACCTCCATTTCTTTTCAATTTATCTTCTGGCAGGACTGAATCAACTAACTTCTTCAAAGCTGAAGAGCCCAGAATGAAGACTGGCCTGACTTGCTGCTTTTATACCTGTGTGACCTGCAGCAAATTGCTTAACCCCAATTGCGTCATCTATAAAAATGAGGATAGTATTAGCAACTACTTCTTAGGATGGTTATGAGTATTAAAAGAGAGAGCAGATGTAATGGCCTCAGCTCAGTGCATTGCAAGTGGTAGGAGTGCGATAAATATTTATTATTGTTTATGTTTTTCTTCCTTTTATGTTGTCTGATGTGTCTAAAAATTATCTTTTTTTTTTTCCTTCATTGAAAAGCTCCTACCTCAGGTACTATTCTTTTTTTTTTTTTTTCTTACTTATTGTTTTAACCATATTTTCTTTATGCTGAAGAGGAAAATATATAGCTTTGCATTTAAAATTCCAAAACAGAGTAATGGCCCATGGAGATGAGAACATTTTTACTCTGAATCTAGAAGTGAATGGTTTTATTAAAAGAGAAAACTCTTCATTTATTTATCCCCTATTTGCCTACATTTGCAGTCACCCAGTTAATGATCACCAGTTGCTTATGTAAATTGTTCTCAAGAGTAGCTTAAGGAACATTTTATGAATCTTATAGGCCAGGAATACATCTTAAAATAGTGACTAGAGAGTTGAAGTTCACCTGTACTATGCTAGAATTAATAGTGCATGATCTGTCACTGCAATGAGGTGGCCCCAAATTTTACTGTAGTCCGCTGACACAGGGATATAGATGTGACTTAAAGAAAGGTCACCCTTAAATATAGAAAAGCATTTGGCCATGAGGTGTTTTAGACACTAACGAGAAAATAACGCAAAAGTGTGCTTCCTGCTTGCTACTTATTCCTGTGTGTGAGTTGGGATCACTGGTAGCAGAATTCTAGAGGCCTTCAGCAGACGTTCCAATTGCAGGAGAGGAAGAAATGATGCATCTGGGATATATATCCTGGGACCATTTGTGAGGAAAGTCTCTGTAATTAAGCCTAAAGGGTGACATGGTCTAACTCAATGCCTGAAAGATGAGTTCTCATACAAGTCTCTCTCTTCTCAGGCCAACTCGAAATAGTGGAATCTCAGAGCTACAAGGGATCTTCAATGACAAAGTCTTAGTGCAAACTTTCACATACATTTTGGGTATCTGATTCAGTGAACAGAATTTCTGACCTGCAGACTTTCCTCACTAATTTGAATATTTTTATTATTATTAGAAGAAAAATACGTTGTTTATGCATTTTTACATCAGGGAAGTTTGTGAATCTTGGGTAAAATTGTATAGCTCTATCGAGTTTAATTTAACAGTTTAAATATTAACCTTCTGGATGTGAAGATTTAAAATATTTTCTTTTCCTACTACTTTCTGGAATGAGACCAAGCCTTTTACACATTAGGGGGATTTTCCTAGCCTTTCTCTGGTTATCTAATATGTCACACACCCGGTCCCTCATGGTGGGCTACCCTTTCTTCTTGAGGTCAGACATGTCAGTGGTGGTACCACTGGAAATGGGGCACTTCTCTCCCCAGCTGGTCACCATAATTCCTGAAAGGAAAACAAAAACCACAGGAAATAAATAATGTTTTGCTGATTTCTCTGCAGCTGCCCCGTGAGGACCCTGGGTACTTGGCAAATCTGTTTTTGCTCCTGAGAAAGAGCCTGAGGAGAAAAGAAAATTCTGTCCAGAGAGATTTAGGTTGCACAAACTGAGCCTGCACTCTCAAAGAAAATAATAGATCACATAGTCCCAACTCTTAGAGTTATTATTTTTTTCTTTTTCATTGACTCAATTTTTCCTTGCTGTACAACAGTTTCTAAATCAGTGTTTTTGAGTGCTTTCATTCAGAACCAATGAGTGTACTTTTCTATTCTTCTTTTTTTAATATAGTGTTACTCAGCAGTGGTAACAATGTCTTGCACTTAATTCCCCAGAAGCTGTTGTGAACCATGGAATAATCCTTACCTTTGTCTGAGATGGCACTTTCTGCTATTCAGAACTGATATCACTCCCTTCAGGACTCAATCTCTGTCCTGCTTGAACCATGCCAAGAATTAGACAATTCTCCCAATTGACTACATTGTGAAGGCACACAGTGATTTTTTTGGCAATAAAAGCAAGTTTAAAACAGACATTTAAAATTGGAGAATAGCAACCCTCTTCCCCAGAGTCCCCTCCTCCAAATAAACCACTTGTCCAGTTTTTTCACTGTGGTCCAGAAATTGTTTTTCTCCCAGTTTGTTGGTGACACCTCCAGGCATCTCCCTTTTCCATGATCTCCATGATATCTAAATTTATATCTCTAATTGTGTCCTCTTTCCATGCCATTAAAATTTCCTTTGATATCTCAAGATCCATGTGCCCAAAGATCATTCTTTTGTTCTTTTCAGAACTCAGTTTCTATTCTGATTAATGCCATTGACATTCTCCATCTGACACTTGGACACAGAATCTTAGATTTGTCTTTCACTTTTTTCTTCCCTTACTTCTCAAGTTTAATCATTTTTTCAAGACTTGGAGACTTTTCAATCTCAAAGTTTCCTGGATCTAGCTTGTCTTGATAGAGGATAATGTTCTCTATCAAGACAAGCTAGGAAAATATTGTTCCTGAAAAGGAACAATGTGCTTTAAAATCAAAGTCACAGACGGGGGATTTTAAGAGACGTTGCCACACAGATGACAACTGAATTCCTGAGAACAGATTAGATTGCCTAGATTAGATTAGATTACATGCATAGACAGGTAGTCATTACTTTTTCATGTGAATGATTGCATTAGCCTCCTAATTTGTTTCTTTATCTTTATTCTTCCCTTCTTTTATTTCATATGGAAATATTAAAATGTGCACGTATATATTTTTAAAAAGTTACATTCTTTATCCTTTTCAAAATTCAAGCTAAGATTCTCTGTTAGTGTCATCTTGCCTATAGCTTTTAAAACAAGATTTTGTTAATAAACTTCCTATCTATTCCGAGTACAGTTTTTCAGGATTAAAACATTTGAATAAGTTGATATACATACGTATATACTTAAATATTAATATAGCTACATTTTACAAATTATTCATTTTTATGAGATAAATAGGTAGTAAGTTCAAGTTATTTTTTCAAACTCTGGTTTCAAAGGCTCATGTATATTTTATTCCTACAATATGTTTTTTGAGTGTCTCAGGATATTGCACAAAACAGAAAGCTTGACTGAAAAGATAATGATTTTTTTTGTACTGAACTCTTAGTGACATTGTTAAAAACATTTTTTTTAGCTGCAAGGCTATGTGCTGAGACATTTAGCATTTGCCTTGTAAGAAAAATGTTCTGTAGCAAAACTTGAATAGAGTGGGGGTGTGGTAGATAATTAGGTTTCTTCCATATTTAGAGCCTATGATTTATGGTACCCCCGCTCTTACTGGAGCAAGATTTTTATGTGGGAGCAAGAACTAGTCTGGATAGAAAATATGTAATTTGGGGAATTGGTATCTTCTGCAAATTTTCAGATTCTTCTCAGTTCATTTTATGTATAAATTTTTCCTAGAACTAAATCACCAGATTTAAGACCTTTTAGTTTTCCTCTCTTATTTTATACAGTTTTGGGGAGGGTTTGGTAAAAGTCAATAATGATTTAAAGTTTTTAAAAGTCCTATGTGATTTAAAATTATACTGTAAATTTCCTCAATATTAAGATTAAAATGGCTCAAATCATCATATTTAAAGTAGAGATCTTGATGTAGTTTACAATTATATATTGCACAAATTTAAAAAATAATTTTAGAGTTCAATACATATATGGAGATATATATATATATATTTATACTATTTTGTAAACAAATTAAAATGTTAAAACTCACATAGCCAATTAAAACTTACTATAAAACTTACTATAGCCAATGGTTGGCAAAGAAAATGCCTAAATTTACTAAGGACTGAAGGAGAGACATTCTATCACTTGATGCAAGCAAGCAACAATAGACCACATGGCTGACTTATTTCTATACTGAGAAAAATCCTGTTTTCCGTTCTCACAAACAAAATGAAAGGCATTAGCAAAAATGTCCTCTTGCATTCCTTCATGAGACCTATTTACTTAATGGAAATCTTAGCAAATATGTTCTTTTTCCCTTTATTAATAATGGTCTAGCTCCATAATAGAAGCGTAATGTGGTGAGCATCTAATGTACCTCACAACTGCCAACAACGGTGTGAATTAGGACAAAAAGGATTGCTCTATTCCATTTACTTCAAAGATCCTTTTAATATTCTTTGTTGCTGTAGACTAAATATTGGATTAAAATTTCCTTCTCTATTTCTTCATTATTATGCTTTGAACAACTTGCAATTTCACAAGACATTTCTTAGGAATAAGAAAGTGTTGTAAATAAAAGGGGATATTTTCTTAATACTTTAGGGAGTGGGGTCAATAGTAGCATATTGTTTCACTTACAGTACACACAGTATAATACTACTTATTTTCCCAAAGTGACCATCTGTCCAGCTTGCCATCTATGTGGCCTTGAGCAGCTAACATCATTCCTCTGAGCTTCAGATCCTCACCTGTAAAATAGGGAGAGATACAAGGTTATTGTAACAAGTAGAATAAATGACACATAAAACATTCTCGTAGAGTGCCTGATACTTCCCTTATATACCCTTCCAAGATCACTCCACACTCTACCCTTGTTCCCTCGATGATCTTATGCTTTAATTGTGAGAGACAAAAACAAATACAAAAGGAAATAAAGGATGAAGCAGTAGGCAGAGAATGTAGACTGTAGTGGAAATAAACTTGACAGGAAGCCTCCTAAATTCTAGTAGTCCTAGTTTTGTTACTAAACAGCTACAATACCTTGCTTGGATCACAACATATTTCTATATCTACATATTATCCATCAGATGAAGGTTTAATGGGGGTATTTATTAAGTGCCACATTTGTTGTATAGACAGTAAGACTCATTGTAATTCTAGTAAGTTAGTAGTCTTTGTGGGTTAAAGAAAGTGATTACGGAAGATATGGAAGAAGTGAGAAATGAAATGGGCTTTAGAAGTTGATTAGGATTTGGTTAGCTCAAGGGAAGACATTTATTTGTTGTTGTTTTTGTTGTCTTGATCTTCGCCAACTGAAATATTTTAATTTTTCATAGAATGACGTAATTGACCAGAACAATACGTTCTGAAGTGACACTGACCATTAATTTAATTGCTTTAATTCTTTAGATGAATTTTATTTGAGAAATTTAAAATTATAAAAGATAATGCCTCCTGTAAATAGCTCCACTATCGTACTTATCAATAAATATGTGGAACTCCTAAAAGTAATATATATTGGAAACTCTTTCCAATACAGAGTCCTTTAGAAAGACCAAAATAATGTAGCCACATTGTGAGATTGCCATCAAGAAATGTGCTCAACATCGTTCTGGCACACTATTTTAATGAGTTCATATTTGTGATTAATAAATGTGTGAAATCATTACTTTCCAGTAAATATGTATAAGGTAAGATTTCAAAGTGACATGTCAAGTATGATTAGTATTTCTTCGCATTAAACTGATAAGGAACAATGTGCTTTAAAATCAAAGTCACAGACGGGGGATTTTAAGAGACGTTGCCACACAGATGACAATTGAATTCCTGAGAACAGATTAGATTGCCTAAAAGGACAAATTTGTTATAAGGCAACATGCACTTTGTAAACTGCATTGATTTTTGTGCTGATAATAACAATGGTTATTGAGGTTGTTGATAAGTGTATAGAACTAATGAGGTTTGGTACATTTTAGGTCATCTTGGTTTCTGTTACTTTCAGTCTCAATTTTATTTCAGAACTTCTAAACCTGAGATGTAAAATAGGCTACATAGATATCTTAAACAATTGCTCAGCTGCTTTCAATGTACAGCTGAAGCTCAGTGACCATCTGTCTGCTGCTCTGAGTATTCTAAATCTTAAAAGTGCATCTCATTGGGTCTATATATGTTATATCATATGGATTATTCTTACAGTCCATTATTCCATGGGACTGTAGTTTGGGCACTAATCCCTTTACCCAGTTTATTTTGTCCTAGGAAACAGAGATGGTTTCACTGGATGCCCATAATTCAAAGTAACAGCTTGATGCATAAAGAGCATCTTGAGGCCTTTAGCCTCAGAAAGCAGGCATAGTTGCGACAGCCATGTAGTGCTTCAAAGGCTTCATTACACAAGTATTATCTCATCTAATCCTCACAACAACCCTATGAGAAAATTATCTATCCCCAATCTTATCTTTCAGATGAACTACATTTTACAGCTAACTAGGTTACCCGAATTCAGCAAATTAGGGACTTAAAGTCATGATTTTCTGATTCTAAAGACACGGAACTTTTCCATTATGCAACATTCACTTCAATAAATATTCCTCTCCTTTTCAACTTCCTTAATGAAAGCCATCGTTATACATGTAAATATGTATATTGATAATTATTTCAAAAATGGAAATGCATTGTAGTTGAAATAACAAAAATAAGAAAATACCTATATAAGATATAGGTATTATAAGTAGCTATCTTACATATTATGTAATTATTTTTAAATGGACTGCTGGTTTAGAATTTTGGGCTATATAGGCATACCTAGTTATCCTGAACTTAAATACAATTTATGAAAAGAAATAATGTTTTATCTTTGAGACAGTCTTGTGAAAAGAAGACTCCTGAAAAGATTCCTGAGAAAATATTCATTTGTTATTATTAGTGAGAATCTGGGTTTAAAAAATGCAACTATGGCAATAATGTTCTTATTGGCAGATGACCACTTCGGTGAGGTTGTGACTGAAAGGTTATGAAATTTTAAAAAAAGTTAGTAAGTGCCAATGGAAGACATAACACAATTTCCAAGAAATATATGTAAGATCATAATACACAGTCATAGAAAAAATGATGGGGTATCAAAGAAAAATTATTTCCATGGAAAAGTGCTTGAAAAAAGAATCTACTAAAACAATAAAACACTAGGAAATAAGGTGAAATTAGATGGAGGAAAAATTAAACAGAATTAGGTATAAGACATAGCATGGGCTAATCTTATTTGACAAGGGACAATTGACATTAACAAAAACTGAACAGAAAAAAACAGATTTTATGAAGAAATGAACAAAGTCACAATTTAGCTCAGTGCATTAAGTTAATCAGTTATTAAGATAATCCTGCTGAGGTACTTGAATCTTTATTTCCTTACCCAATGGTTCAGAGCCACAAGAACCCTAAGACAAATGTTTGTGCAGTCAATCTGGTTCATCAACTAATTCCAAGACTGATCAACTTTGAAGGAAAATCATTTGAGGAAGATTATTATGCCCAGTTGGAAGTAACTGGACTAAGGAACTGAAAGCTTTCTGTCTGTCTGATAGAACCTGCACCCATGCAGTTGTCCAACAACTATACTTTCTAGTTCTTTTGAGTTAAAAAATAATAATAAAATTGTGAGTGGATTCCAACAGATGGCCTTTCTCTGACCTAAAACTTATTGACACATTTACTCATACTTCTGTTTGAGGGTTTAGAGCAGCTCAAAGTTTGTAACTTCCTGTGTTTGTCTGTGCCCCTCCTCCTAAATGGGCAAGGGCCTTGTCAGATTCCATGAGAAAGAAATGCTTTTTTGTTTGTTTGTTTGCTTACTGAAGATTACAGAGAGGAAAGTGTTAGATTGCTATCTTCTATCTTGCAGGTTTTTTTTTTTTTCTTTTTTCTTTTATTATTTTTTTGACAGGGTCTTATTCTGTCTTGTTGCTCAGGACAGATTGCAGTATTGCAATCATAGCTTACTGCAGCCTTGAACTTCTGGACTCAAGTGATCTTCCTTCCTCAAGCATCCTAGAGCAATGGGATTACAGGCCTGAGCCACTACACCCAGCCCAGGCCTTAAGACTTTTGTGTTCTCTCCCAGCTCAGCTGTTTCCAAAAGCCAGTAACCCCATGCAGGTTGCTTCTCATTATGAAATTCTTTCTAAGTAGTCTAGTGTCTGTCCCTTGTCATCACGGTATTCTTGCTTTTGAGGGAATAGGCCCTACCAGACCAGTCTGAATCTCCTGAAATGCTGGTGACTAAACTTTTGTTTTGATACCACAGTGTTAGTAAACAAACAAACAAAAAGCAGTCATGATTTCCAATTTTTCTAGAAGATCTCAAGTTGTTTTTCATGCGTATCATGAGAGAACAAGTTTTTTGTTTGTTTTTTATTTTATCTTAAAACTGGATAGGCTTGTGCTCCCCAGAATATGGTATTATGCAGTTTAAGAGATTCTTTACCTGCTTGACGCAGTCAAACATCAATAGTTCTACCTTGATAGACTTTCAGGTCTGGAAAAAGCTTAATAAAATAGGGAGTTTTTATGGCCTCATTTTTTTCTTTTCAACTTTCAGTTTAAGTTCCAGGGGTACGTGTGCAGGGTTTGTTACATGCGTACACTTCTTGTTATGGGGGTTTGGTGTACAGATAATTTTGTCATCCAGGAATCAGCATAATACCTGATAGGTATTTTTTCAATTCTCCCCTTCCTTCAAACTTTTACCCTCAAATAGGCCCTAATGTCTATTGTTCCCTTCTTTGTGTCCATGTGTGCTGATGTTTAGCTTCCACTTTATTTTGTTTTACTTTGCCGAAGCTATGGAGTAAAGAAAGTAGTCTGGGAATCTTCTTATGGTGAACAGATACGTATACTTGTCTTTGGGAGACATATATATATATGTCTCCATATATATATGTCTTCATCCCATATATATATATGGGATGAAGAGGGCAGAATTTTTCCAATTCCTGGGAGAGGGAAAACTCCAAGAGATAAGAGTGGGTGGAGGTAATTTTAAAAAGAGAAGAAACATTGATTGAGATTTGAAGGTTTGCTGGATGGCAGAAAAGGATAGCATGAAACCCTGGCTTTGGCCACAGATGTGTCTGAAAATGTTGTAGGACTGTCTCCTTAGTTCAGCGAAAAACCGGGTTCTTGCCACAGGACCAGGAAAAGGTTAGGCTCACAGACACTTTGAAGGGTGAGGAGGATAGAATTTGTTGGGAGAAAAGGAAAAAACAACACAGCAAAGCTAGATGGGGTCCTGCTAACAGGCTCTGCACCTCACCAACTGAATCCCAGGTTACCCCCCAGGAACAGGAGAGGCCAGGCTCCTTCCCTGCTGCGAACAGCAGGAGCTTCCCAAGGCTTCACCCCATCCTCCCAGTGCACAGGCTGGTTGGAGACTCTCCAGGAAGCCCTTTTTACTTGGCTGTCTCAGAACCTTAATACTTGCTTGACATGCTGCCAGATTTCTTGAAAGACACGCTACAAACTTATGTTCTTTATACGTTGCCATAGGGTTTAGAAGGAAGTATAAAACACAAAGAGTGATGGAGGGGACAGATCAATGGAAGACCACTTTGAACCTAGACCTGGAGTTGGCAAACTTTTTCTGTGAAGGACCAGCTAGTAAATATTTACAGATTTGTAGGATATGATTTCTGTGGCAACTACTCAACCCTACCTTTATAGCATGAAAGTAGCCATAGCCAATACATAAATGATTGGTCGCTGCTGGGATTCAATATAACTATTCACAAAAGTAGGGAGTAGGCAGATTTGGCCTAAGAGTGGCAGTTTTTGCCCTGTCTGGACTGTTTTCCCAGATTTCTTTGCATTAACGTATTTACTACTTCTCCTATTAGCAAGTCTTGAGTGAATCCACAAATAAATAACACAAGATTCTTTTCCAGTTTTACTCTTTCTTTTCCTATAATGTTTACAATAGAATTGTGTGTGAATAATTTTGATTCTACTGCTACCTCCATTTGCATTACACTATTTCATTTTTCTCATTATTCTCAGTGTAGCAGAATGTATCACATAATGATCACCTTGAGATTGTCATGGAGTCACTATTTTGAAAAATTCAAAGTATAAAAGGGGTCTTTAAGGAAAGGTACCTGGGATAAGAGGCATATAGTTACTTAAGGTACAAGGGGAGCTAATAAACATCCTATGTATGGGTAAATAAAGTGAGTAAAGTACAGTATTACTTCTAGTTTTTAAGAATCAAACAGCTTACTTGAGATAAAGGGCAAAATGTCTCTAAATGTGGAAAATAAGTATCTCGAAACTAAATAATTTAACTCTAATTTACAAAAAGAAATACTGTGATATGGAAAAGCACTAAAAATACCTAGTGATTGATAGAAAAAGCAGAATACATTAAACATAAAAATAAATTATGTGGCAGTATAGTGATGATTCTTCAGGACAAACAAGTGGATACAGGTTTCTGAGTTTTAATCAAGGAATTCAATTTTGTTCAACCATATCTTCTGAGGCAACAATAAAGCTAAAGTGGGGCAAGTTCATTTCAGATGCAAGAAAATATTTAAATGAATCATTTCAAAAGTGATTAATATTATATATCAATGAAAATTATTTCTGAAACTTTTAGTAGGATACATCTTTTGAATATGTGCATATATTTGGGAGATTCTGAACTGAATTACTTACTCTAGAAATAAGAATGCTACCTGAAAACATTTGGCCTATATTTAACATAATTTGTCATACCTTAATTTTAAATTGTAATTATTCTTTTAAATTTTTTACTTTATTCTTATTTTAAAATTTATTTTATTTTATTTTTTATTTTTTTCAAGATGGTATCTCACTCTGTCTTCTAGGCTGGAGTGTAGTGGCCCAGTGATGACTCACTGTAGCCTCTACCTCCTGGGCTCAAGGGGTGTTACCATCTCAGCCTCCCAACTGGCTCAGACTACAGGTGTGCACCACCTCGCCCAGCTAATTTTCTGGGTTTTTTTTTTTTTGAGATGGGGTCTTGCTCTGTTGCCTATGTTGGTCTTGAACTCCTGGACTCAACTGATCCTCCTACCTCAGCCTCCCAAAGTGCTGAGATTACAGGCATGTGCCATCACATCCAACTCATCTTAAATTGTATTTATTCTTAAATTATTTTCTTTTTTTCTCAAGGTAGAATTTTTCCTGTATGCCGAGATAAAGTCTGAGTGGAAGTTGCTCTTGTATTTATTCATATAGCTATTATTTTAATACTTTAAAAATATTTTAGATTTATATTAAGTAATATATTTAATTTGGTCAGCATGTTTTATCTCTAAGCCTTGGCAATGTAGCACTATGTTTTTAAAAATACTATTTGTAAAATGTATTAAAGTTTCAAAATTAAGAATGAAAACATAGTAATGTAATAGACTTTGGTGACTGTTGACTTCTAGTTTTCTTTTAAAGGTATAATGATTCAAGTTTATAAAATTCCTTCAGTTTATATGCAAAGTTCTCCTTAACTGCATTTTCTTATAGGGCTATACCATTTGTTTATTAAGTAAAAATTTTCAATTTGGGAATTGCAATCCTTCTTTCTTATTGAAAATCTGTTCTTTTTCAGATTAGGGAGAAAGACCCACATGGTTGATGGTACTAAATGCTTCTTCATTAACTACTCTCTGTCTACTCACTACTCCTTGCCTCATTACTGAATCATGATTATTTCTTCCCCTTAGATAAAAGTGTCTCTGTTTTACCAGCATATCCCTCTGTTTTCTTATCTTTGCCAGTTCTTTGCTACAGGCCCCTGGGGCCAGTCCACCCATCTGCTATATATTAGTTTTCCCCTAATTTGTTGTTACATGTCTCATTCTACTGGGAGCAATCTAATCTTAGATTTAAATTTTTTCTCAGACATTTCTTCTTCCTTCTCAGATACCCAGTATGTAACAGCATCTCTGGCATTCCTTTCCTATTCAGGCTGCTTCTCTATCAATTCTCTGCGAATCTTGGAAGTGAGAGACAGGCTCAGAATACTCCTTGATCTGCACTGTCTTACTGTCCTTTTCCTCAATAACTTAATGACTTGCTTTAGTCTTCCTCAATGGCTTTCTCTTGCCATTGTATTTAGAGACTTAGTAGTAATATGAATGACCATTGATGATCCTGCTGTCTCATGGTTTCCACCTCCTAAAAGCTGATGGTGGTTGTCTCTATTAAGTCTCAGCCAATCTGAGCTTCCTACCATTGTGATTACACTCTCATTACTTGAACATATTCCATATCCAAGAACTCTAACTCAGCATACTTTCTGTGAACACAAAATCTTACTCCAACTTCCAAAATGAACTTCTCATTTATCTCCTCTCCCAAGTCCTTCTGTCCTTCTCATATGCCCTCTTACATCTTATTCATTCTGGTTTGTCTGCTTAAATGTTCAGCTTGTACTCCAGGGACAGCCATTTCAAAAGTGCATTTGTAACCGCTTTAGAATTTATTGTCCCTTTGATCTTCTACCAATTTTCTTTCATCTTTCCTTTGCCCTAGTTATTCTCCTGTGTCTTTTGTAATGGGCAAACAAATTCTGTTAACGTGGGCTATGGACCCAAATGAGTGCTGCCTGACTAACTCTACAGCAAATTCTTGCAGTTTTACAGCACTTGGGAGCAAGCCACTTTTCCCATCTGTAGTTGACTCATTCACTAATGTGGTCCAGGATTTTTCCTTTCGTGGCACACATAGAAACTATTTTTATGTGACTTTTTGCCTATGAATGAGGCCAAAATACTTGCCTTGTTTACACTAATGGACATTGCAAAGACTTAGTGAGATAATGTATGTTAAACTACAGTTTTACATCTATAAGGCCCCAATATTATAATCATTCCACAGGCACATCTCATGCTTTACCACCTCTGTGTCTTATTCATTCTGATCTCTGCCTGTGATATCCCTCCTCAACCTTTAAGACTTAGCTTAAATACTACTTTCTTCTGTGTTACCTCTATCCACTCAGCACCTGGCCTGTTCCTGTTGCCCTTGATAACTAGAAATCTTTGTTTTGAATAATCCTGACTATATAAGATTCTATGGTCCTGGTATCCAGGTAGTACTTAGTCCAATACTCTGTATCTAGTTGGGCAGAATAAATTTGTGAGGCACCAAATTGAACTGAATGATAAATTTTGCAAATTAAGAAGTATACTCCTGATAGCAAAGGTTTGAGTGAGTTTATGGGTTATTCATAGGACTTTTTATCTATACAGTTCATCAGCTCATTATTATACTTCATTATAAAGAATACACTCCTTATTACAAGGATAATAAAATGATATTTTTTGTTACAATGAATAGATTTAAAGCAGCATTGATTCCTCTCCTCTTCAGTGATTTTTTTTATATGTACACTAAGTTTTATACACTAAGAACCTTATGGTTTTGGTAACATAAGATTGTCATCTTGTAAAAGAGCTTGATTACGTCTCATAATCAAGCTCTTGCTAGTAAGACATATTTCTGAATAATCCCTGGGAAAGGAAAGTATATTGATATATCACTTTACCATCACCTGTTTGAAACAATGGCTTCAAACTAACTGTATATTTTCAATACTGCCCTTGAAAATCCTGTACCTTGAAGGATAAGTAGATTAAATGCCAAAACAGTTTTCAAAACACTTTATACACATGGCTTCATTGTATTTTTTTTGTGAGATAATTTATGGAAATACCACCTATCGCTTACTAGAGCCATTTCAATCACCCTTTGTTTTTGCTTTGACTATGACATATTGAGTGTGGTATATGTGTGTGTATACATATCTATATATAAATATATGTTTATATATTTATATATGTGTGTATGTATTATTTTTATATATTTATATATTATATATATGTTTATATGTGTGTATATATATAGTGTGTGTTTATATATATATATGTATATATAAGAGTAGCTCTTTACTTTTTTCTTTTCTCCACACAGCTGAAGGTTATAAACATTTACTTTAATAAGAATAGGTTTCTAAAGCATTAATATCTCATTACAGTGGGAAAAGACCAGGAATCTTAGAAGCAGAATCTTAGAGACTTGGAGGGAAATTGTTGGAAAAAGGTACCTAAGGTTTATAAATATGTCCTCCTAGGAAGTTTTGCTTCTTTCCACAAATTTCCATGGGGAACTTCAAGTTATAAATTTGATTTCTTCTCAGGCATTTGAGAGGATGTGACCCAGTAATTCTAAGTCTACGTATTTGCCCTTTAGATAACATCGGTTTCAAAAATAGAGAGCTCTGTTTTTGCTTTCTTGATATATTTAGAACAACAGTTCTCTCAGGAATTTTGATTATAAATAGTATAAACAGATAATTGGGAAGCTGTAATCAGCCAGTTGTTGGTTACCTAACATGTTAGGATATTTATGACATATGTAGAAATGTAGGCTTTACTGATTTCTGGAAATCTATAGATTTCTATATGTGTCAGGGAACATTAGAAGGAATTTAGCTCCCATGTAGTTCAGTTATGACATCTTTACAATATCTCTCACAGGTTGATTTTTATTTATGACCATCTTGAACTATTAATGAGACAATATGTACTTCAAAGTGTATTATTTTGGGGGGCAATTCATATTGTTAGAAAATTCTTCCCTAAATTCCTAAATTGACATTTGGCCAGATAGAACTAATGTCAATTTCACGTGGCCAGCTATATTTAAGATTTTTCACTTAAGCCATTCTACAGTGTAGTTACCAGAACTTTTGTCAGCCTGTCTCCTTCCCTGATTCTCTTGTCATTGTCTGAATTACAAATGTACTTCTTAGAAGTGAATTCCATCATCTAGCACAGAGTATGAGCATGACCATAATGTGAGCATTACTTTATATGCTATAATTCAGGCTTGAATTAACATGTAGGCAGCCAGATCAAGCATTGGCTCATTGAGTTTGTGATTAATTGAGGCATGAATCCTTTCATAATATGTACTGTTTTAGAGTTAGTCTACCTAATATAGAATATTGTGTTGTTTTTATGTTTTACCTAGGTTTTCCTCAAGTTTCTTAACAAGAGTTTGGACAGTGATCTCTTTATTTCCAAAATCCATGTACTATACATATGTTAAGATATTTGTCAAATATACTTTTGATTTCAAACATTAAACTGTCCATATATCTGACCACCAAAATAAGTCAATAAATATATTTTGCAAGTACATTTAAGTCTGAGATCTGAAACACAGTGTAAGAAGTTATTTATGGGGGAAAAATCTAAATATCACCCATATTTGGTCAATCAAACTGTACAAATTATTTTCCCAAATTTGTACTAACCGTAAGTTAGCAGGCAGTAAAGCAATTATAGGGAAATCAATTCATTTCTCTTTGCCTCAGTTTCTTTATTTATATCATCATATGATTGGACACAAAATTTATGTATTAAAGAAATACTTGCAACATATATTTAGTCATATATATCCAATTCTAACAAAAATGATGTTTCTGGTTGATGAGCCATTTTGAAGCATGAGAGGGAAAGGAAAGAAGTGGGTTCTATAGACGGCAACAAAAAGACTGGCAAGAAGTCACAGATATAGCCTGACAGAAGGGAGCAGACACACTGTGTTTCCTCCAAACACAGAAACACACACCAATTTAAAATACAAGCATTA